CAAAATCTATTGTCCAGTTAATGCAACCAATGCACTTTAGGTGTGTGATGGAGAAATCGCACTCTTTTCCTTTTTTTGGTGACTTTTCTGCAAAGTTCAAAGAGCATGTTGAAAATCTGCCCTTTCATACACTGAATTTTTAATCAACCTGGGGAATACTTAAAGCAGTAAGTGCAGCAAAGCCCGTCAAATACAATAAGCTTATAGAATAGCAAAGCCCAAGTGCATTTAAAGGTGAGCAAGGTTAGTCAGAGCTATATACTGAGGCAAGAACTTYGTATTTGTTTGTGCATTAAGCAAAGCAGAGGAATGAATGTCTGTGCAGTTACATATTTAGGGCTTCCTGAAGGGCTTTACTGTCCCAGCTTTGTATTATGAATTTAGTTTTAATGTAATTTTTTATGCTGACTGCTCACATTGATCATTAACGCAGAATACTTTTACCTCTAGTGTCTTGTTCTTCGCAAGTGTTCTTGAAAGAAAATAAGTGATCAAATATTACTCTCATATCTATGCAATTTTTTGTACATCCTTGTGGATAGTCTGCATTTTGTCTTGTCTTTTCTGGCCCAAACATGTACGTATGTGTGTGATGATTTTAATTTTGATAACTGTGCAGTTGTTACTTATTGTTTCTGTATAAGGTTTTGCTTAGATTGGTGGATTCAAGCCAGAAATTTTGAAAGGTGACTTAATTTTGAAGCTAGGAAGATCCATTGCCATTTTTTAAACCTGTTTACTCATCACCGGTTTTTATTTTGTACTTTTGGACAGGTGAATTTTACCAGTCTTTTCAGAAATTCTTGATAGAGCAGATCTGCCCTTGATATATGTTTGGAGTTCATGAGCAATGCATATTTAGCTTAGGCTTTGTATTCTTTTTAATTTGGTTAAGGCTTTGTAAAATTGGATGCTGCCTGAAGAGGAACTTACAGCTGTTTGTTACATTAAAAACATGATTGTAAAAATGCTGACTGTTGTCCAAGTACATTAATTTTCATTCTTTCTTGTATTAGAAGTTCAGAAATGAAAAATCATAGAGTTGTAACATTACTATTTCAGAAGGATCTTTGCACAAGCTTAACTTGAAAGTTCTGATATGCTTAAAAAATGAAAAATAAACATTTAATAAAAATTTTACATTTCTCCAAAAATTGAAACTGAGATGATAAACTTGCAGGTGAATTCTAGGCAAATCATGTCTCTAGAAGAAAAGAATATACCACATTTTTTAGCACTGTGACCAAATAGAATCAGTTGGTCAGAGTTGTACTTCTAGCTGTTAGAATAAGTCTCTTCTAAGTGGCCTTGGCATTTTTTCATAGCGTATATTTATCTGTACTTAGAGCAAATTTCTTCAATACCATTCCAACTCCCAATACCATGTCCTCAGAATGCCTGTAATAAAGTTTTAGTCTAGGTCTGTTACTTTATTTACAGGCTTGTGGAAAGGAAAAATATTTAAGACTTGCAGCTGTGAATTTATAATTAGTTGGGCCTTTGTTTCTTGGTGAAATAGGGGGGCATGATATTGCTCATATGTCTTGGTAAATTAAATGTGTAAACAGGTATTTTTGTAAGGTTGGAAAGAACACTGTCTAAAAAATTACCTTGACACTGAAAAAGTAATGTAAAGAGGATGGATGGTAGAGTTATGATTTCTGTTATGCCTATCTGCTGCTAGCATACTTGAGCTTTGGTTAGAAGAGGGTACGTTGGAGTGACCATGGTGCAATGACACTGAGAGGTTAAACCAAGCTGCTATGGCTTAAGAAGCTTCATAAGGAGCTGAGTTTGGGAAGAAACTGTCAGAGCCGAAGTTTTGCCCAAGTGACACACTGGGCTGTCAGCAGCCATCAGCTGTGATGTTCAGGGGCCGCTCTGCGTATCGGCACCGACAGCTGCTCCAGCTCCATGCAAAGGGGCAGCTGTGCTCTGTGATAATGCTGCAGCCCCATCTTCATGGACAGCTGCCATTCTCAAACGSGTGTCTGGAGCATTGCTACTCTTCCAGTACAGTTGATCTTTGTGAAGGACAAATCAAAGGCTTAAATGTATCATTTTTGAAAACCACTGCAGTGTGTTTTGACACTTCAGTTGGCCTGTAGTCCCTTTTGCAAGTTTTTACTATTAAGTCCCCTTTTTTAAAACAGGAACTTGAACAGTGATGAGGATAGTTTTGAAACTATCACAGTTTGCTACTGGATAGTTGAATAGAATAATAGTTGTTTCATGTTCTAGGATGTGTTGAACTTAAAATTTCAGAGTAGAAACAAGTGAAGTTTTGATGACTTCTTTGCTCACCTCTGTGTCATATATGCTTCTTTTCTAGTTTACTCACTAGTTTACTAGTTTACTCACTAGTTTAACACCAGGCAATCAAGTCTGTAATAAATACACTATTTGTTGTTCTGGTTGCTTAGAAGGTTTAGACATCGTTATTCTAAATTTTTTGTCTGCTTATCTTTAGCTTCAATTYTGCGTTTAGTATTGTTAGCTCTTAAAATGTTTTTTTAAGAGAAATTCTAACAAATCTAATCTTTGTCAGTTAAGAAGACCCAACTGGTGCTTATCTATCTTGCCTATGAAAGCATGTTGGGAAAAGGTTACGTGAGCTGTTCATGGTGCTAGTTGCACATTTAAATTTATTACATAGTTCAGCAGCTTTGTATGAAATATAATAYACATGTTAATGCATAAAGATAAAATTTTGAACTCTGCAAGCATGTCCCTTTGTGGGAAGTTTCCTTTGACAGCTTACTATCAAAGTGCTGTCTTTAAGGATYAAGGAAGAATATATTAAAAATGCCATTTTCATAGTAAAAGAAGATGCTAGCGSTGGTAAACAAGACTGTGTAAGCTAAGGTTCACCAAAGGAACCCTTCTGCAAACCTTAGGGGTAGCAACTGTGTCCCTCCCAGCCACTGTGTGGTATGTCAGTAACATAGCCCAGAATCACACCTGTTGAACATAAGTAGTGACAGGTTTTATTTGTTTGGAGTTTTCCCCCCTCTAAATAATTGGGGGSGTATAATTGTGGTTGAAAAAAACAAAAGGTGTAGTAACAAGGATTCTGGAAACTTGGAAAAGCTCTAAGATTTTATTTCTATATTCTCAGCAGAGAAAACTATATTAATTTGAAGCTGAAGTAGTCTAGCTTCTGGTGGAGGAAAAGCGTGCAGCTTAATTTTAGTGAAGAATGTCTGTGGGTGAATTTGTTAATGGGCAAAATGATCTCCATTTGCAAAAWGGATTGCCTATAAGTGTATCTGTCTATGACAGATAAATCCATTGGACAAAGACCTGATTTCATTTTAAGTGAGATTGCAAGTTTCATAAGAACAGATAGTGTCCTTTCACTTCTGAAAGATGTTGCTTTCAGAATTGTAGCTCCTTGTGTTTTCTCCGATACAGGAGTATTTGCTATCAGTGAAAAGCTTATTAAGACATTAAAAAGAGGTATCAGGGAGGTGTAGCAGCATTATGAAGAGACTGGTATTGTGCTTGATGCTTTCTCATGAAAGAAAAAGCCTGATACTGTTGATTACAGAAAACATTAAGTTGGAAGTAAATGTAAAACCGTAACATCTAAAATTGTGTCTTAAAAGCTGACAGGGTAGTAAACTATGAAGAAGACTGGGCACTGACCTGAGTCTGTACAGTACAGTCTGCTTACTCTAAGACTCAAACATTAACCCTGCACTTGGAAGGAGAGCATGGATGAACCGTGCTGTGTCCTGATTAGGAGTGTCTGCACCAAGGCTTTAGCAGCAAAGTGGATAAATGGATTCAAGTCAGCATGATACTGGAGCAAATRAACCAGCGTAGTTTCTGCATTTGTAAACAAGAAAAATGAGTCAATCAGGGACTTGTATGTGTGAATGCAGCAAGCACTAGTGAGCTGTGTCTAGCATCAGAGTTTGGATTRTAATTGGACACTGCAAATACAAATTTCAGAGAGTATAATCAGAAAATGCTGTAAGGAATATAGAAAGTGTATTTTGCCTGTTTATTATAAGCAAACATAATTTTGCAAGATAACTTGCATGTAGTTGATTGATGACCAGAATCTTTCCTTAGGAGAAGTAATTTATGGTTCTGCAGTTGTCTTGACCAAGGAACAAAAATAGAGGGCAAAAGGATGGTAGAAATCCTTTGCAGTGTGAGCAGACAGCTGCTTACAGAGTTATCCTTTGGACACTTCACTTTTAGCTGCTTGCATTATGAATGACTGTCTTACAAACCAATCAACCRAAAAACCCACCAAATCCAAAAGAAAAAAACTAAACCCCACAGAATACTGGAGCAATTACGGAATATTTTGAGATGTCAGAAGATTTTGCTCTGAGCAGAACAAAAGTGAGATCACGTAAARGTTTTCCAAAGTGAGTGACAGTGCAGGCTGCAGCATGGCTGGCAGTAGAGACTGCATTCTTTTTTCCCTCTGATTAGGCAGTGTTGGCAAATGATTCTGTTAAATCAACTTTTAGGTTATGCTAGCAAAGTTTATTTCTTTCAAGCACAGACTTTTATCAGAATTTGCTTATATGGACTGCAGAAGTTTTTCTAAAAAGTTTTTTTTWAAGTGTATTTTTTTCTTCAGAATTATTTTGTTATTTATCTTAATAGTTTTATTTGGGGAGAAACATTATAGCCATATTTAGTGTTTCTGTTGTCTGTAATCCTCCCTTTCGGGTTTTGTCAGATTCAGATCATAAGATCAATGTACAGTTCATGGTATGAAGTGCAGTGATTTTTGATAGTCAGCCAAAGTATCCAGCAGAGTTTGAAGCCATGATATAAAACAAAATTTTGTGTGATGCTAAGTTTACTTTGATAAATGTGTATTAATTTTTAAGATAACTTTGTGGCTATCTTTGTAATACCTGAGGTTTCTGAATCAACAAACTTAGTTTAACAATTTGAAATTATAAAAAAAAAATGTATGGCTGTATTCTCACATGAGTAACTTCTTTGTGTTTTATCTTTTTTTTTCCAAGGTATGGGCTGAAGCCAAATGACCAAATTTTGGCAGAGGAGAAGCACAAAGAACTGTAAGCTCTTTTATGGTGATACATATGCATGTTACCTATATATTTTTGTATGTACATAATATCTTACTGTTAAATACCTGAAGCAAAAATGCTAGTTTCTGCTTTTCAGTATGATCTGCTACAAATTGCAGTTTGTCTAAAACTAATGGTTGCAAAAAGAGATGTAAATTTTTTTTCATTGGTTTAAAAATACTTTTATTTACTGCTGTTGGTACCAATACAATTTAAATGCCCCTGTTCATTCTAAATGGCCGTGTCCATTTCTAAATTAAATACAGATTTATAGGCTTACTTTCGCATTTCTTACCTTCTGGGCAGAGATAGTAGGGAGTTTGGTCCCTTTTGTGTGCACCTGCATGTTTAAATAAAAGAAAAACACGCTTTTCTTCCTTACTGCTCTAAACTTTAGGCTGTTGCCCATAACTGTTTCCATTATTATGTTAGAGTGATTTTGCATTATTTCATGGTACACCCAAAACACTTAAGCAGTTTATTCACATGTAAGATAATGTACCTGATTCAGATGAATTCATATCTATAGTTGTCAGGTTTTCCCATGTTAAAATTTTTAATGTTTTTCAGTAAGGTYGTAGATTTCATGCAAAAAAATGTATTCTGGTAACAAAGATTTAATTCCTTTGGCAAAGATGTTTTTTAAAAACCTTAGTGAATGAATTACTAACCAAATAAAATATCCCATGTTCTTTCAGAGGATGGAAAAAGACATTTAACTTCAGTTAGTACATCATGGTAATGTGCCTGTGACATTAAAACTGCTTGAGCTCCAGGCAAAGACTGGCAACAGCAGTTTGACTTTGATCAGTAGATAAGATTGGTTTTATGTCGAGCACACTCTCTAATGACAGAACACTTAAGGACAGCATAACTATGATTAACCCATTAACACGTTTTAGATGCTACAAGCTAGAAGTATTGAAAGWACTGCCATGCTGAGGGGTTAAACAGAAGTTAAATCGCATGCAGGTCTGTATTTTGGACAGTACAAGTTGTACTGTGTACACAAGCTTTATTTACAGAACAGATACTGATGAAACTGAACAATTTGATGTGAGATGTGTCATTTGAAGCAGTTAAATCCTCTTTCAGCTTTTTGTTTTACACGTATTACATATTAGTTAATTCCCTTTTGTTATTGATATACTTACAGCATAGTCACTTCTTAGGTGGAAGATTTTATTAATTTAAAAAATATTTAGTAAAACTTGAGAGAATCAGCTGCCACAGAAATCCTTCTTTGGTGTTTTGTTGTACACACTGCAGTAGTTCCTAAGATGATTTATATGTCGTTGGGTATAATGGAAGAGGTTTAACATGCATTTGCCAYTGACCTTGTCATCTTGAATGTCACTGGATACTTTACCAGGAAAACTGTTCTAGATCAGTGTCACGTTGTTTTCAGAAGACACCTTTGGAACTTTGCTAATGCGTGTACTCTTCTTCTTGGACCACGTGAACAYGACAGATTGCACATTGTTGAACTTAAGAGTACTTTCAGTCCTTCAACCTAAATTCTCTTAAATTACAGAGGAGTTTTTAGATACTTCATTATCCTTTTCTGATGTTAAAGTAGACTTTCATATTTAAAAGCAATGCCAGTTCTAGGAAACGTGCGAGACAGCTTATCACTAGAGTAATTGTTGCCGATTTGGTTATAAACTCATTCTTATGTACAGTGCCCTTAYAATTAAGGCATTCTCCTGACCCTGTCCTAATGTTTTTAAGTCAAATACAGAGTTAGTCTCTACATATTGCTGTTCAGTGCCATAATCCTCCTACTGAAWATAATTTATCTTTCAGTCTTTGAAATGTCAGCACCTTTTTTATTGCCTTCCCTAGCAGTAAAGAAGACTTCCTTTGGCATTCTTCATCTAGCAATATCACGGGGATTTATCTGATTGTCACATGTCCTTCAGTTTCTCAGAGATCACTTCTGTGTAGCTGTTGTTCATAAAAATGTAAATTTGTTCAGTAATGAATGCCTTATCTCCAAAGTTAACTGCTATACCCTGACTTGAGTCCTTGAGTCTTAGTTATCTAGAGAGATAAGAACTGCCACTAAGACTGGCATTGGTTTACAGGCATGGCATCATGCTTGAGGTCTATTTTAAGAGCTGTGGTATGAAAGATCACTTTATTTTTTCTGCTTTCAATTCATTTCATCTGTAGCAGCCTCTGATGCTTGGAAAAGAGTAGAGAAATCTGCAGCAGAGATTCAGAAGTAGTCAGGGTATGATAGAGAGCTAGAGGATATCAAAACTATCGGAGCCACATCAGGGCACTGTAGTAGAGCAGTTTCCTTGTGTTTGGAGATGGGAGGGTGGCTGCCCCAAGTCGGTCACTGTCTGTCACAACAATATCTTCGATACAAAAGCACAATGACTGTGTAACTGTGTCAYTGATAGCTCAGCTTGCAGGGAGAGGTGTATAACTGCTGAGCTCACCAAAGGCTTGCAGCYGTCCATGTAACGCTCTGGAAACAGCCGAGTGTTGTGTGCCACTAGAGGGGGCGGTTTACCTGCGGTAACATTGCAGAACTCCTTCCTTATGTCTTGGGTTTAGGATTTGTCCTGTTGGCGTTTAGCCTCACTAAAATACTTTTGGTTTTTGTCCACCCTATTCCCCCACAAACCTAAAAAAAGAGAATATAAAAGTGGGGGGAAGAGGCAGTARAATATCAGAAATATAAAGCTTTAAATCTTCTGTTAGCCTTCTCAGTATATGCTGACGGTAGAGATGATTTGTATGGATAAGGTGATCCATGAACCTGTCACAGATGTCTGTTAAAGGTGTTGAGTTACTTGATATAATATACCCCACTTGTAATTACATTTGAGTGGATTAATATATATTACCAAATACGGTTTGGCAATGAATTAATGTGGAAAATTGTTATGGCAGTTATAAMAAGGTACCCAGATTCTTGAAAAAAGTTGCTAGCTCTCACCTTTACAGARCTTTATTTTAGATTTCTTCCTCATTTTTTTAGATCAAGTATCATATTGACCTGTTTCCTGGTGTAGAGTTTTGTCTGAAAGCTTCAATAAAAATCTCTACTTGGATTTTTTATTTGTTTTTACAAAATYAAATATTTTTAAAATTGCTACAAAKGAAAACKCTTAAACTTTTCTTTTTAACAAATTAATAGTAATTTAGAATGACCAGTCTCCTAAATTGCCACCTTGTCCCAAAGCAAATAAAATTCGGTTTTATATTGACACTGATTGTTCCATGACATTTAACTAAGCACTTTTAAAATTAAACTTCCATKAAATGTTTGGAAATTCTGTAGAGGAAGAATCTGGATGATGTRCTGTCGATATTTAAGAAACTTCTARTGAATGARCTYGATKGTTGGTAACAGCCCTGTGCTGAAATGGAATGTTTTCTTAATCCAGTTCCTTGAGTTGTTGGCTCCCTCTGTGGAAACTACTTTAAATTGCAGTTTGATTTCTCTAGAATAGTTTTATCACTTCTGTGATATATACATAAAGGCATGACTCAGATGTACAAAAGGAATTATTTATGGTTAACTACAGAATTTCTATTAAAAATTCCTCCCTCTGTATTTCTTCCTTAATTTTTTTGCCTGTCCACCCTTTACCCARTCATTTTGAATTACAGCACCAATGCAAATTAGCAATTAGAAATTGTCTCATGACATTCTTGGTAACAGGCAATCCTGCATAAAATTTCTAGAAGTCAAGGTTCTAAGTTACAGCAGAAATACTTTTTCCTTCTTTCATGGAGCAGTCTTTACATCTGCTTAAATTTAAACTAAAAAAYTTCAAGTGTTTTAGTGTATAATTTCATTTTGCATCCTGCTGTTGAAGATGTTAAGTAAGTAATCTGTACAGTATTGTACAGGGTGGTAAACAGATTGGATCARTATTTTAAAACTGTGCTTGTGTATCAGTGCAGTGTTTTAATTGAGCCTCCTGCCTCTGTTCATGTTCCTTTGTGTGAATAGTTTATTAAAGCCCAACTTTGCTATGTAGCTTTAAAGGCTCTGTTAGAATAGTCACTGTTGTTAAACAGCTCCCGGAAATCAGTGTCAATTCATTCTTGTACGGCACAGTGCTTATTTGACGAAAAATAGAAGGAAACTTCTGATAATATGGTTGGCAAGAACAAGGCTTATGTTCCTCTAGGGAGCTTGGCTTTGTAGCCTGAGATGCTTATCTGAGGCTGTTGTGTGATACAACATTTCTATGGTAGTGGGAAGAGGGAGTGCTGGAGGGGAAAGAGAAGGATGGATATAAAAGCCAATCRAGAATCCAAAATATTTGATGTATGTGGCATTGCAGGTGTAAAAACATCTGCTAAGGATTGGAACTTTATTTGCTTAAAAGTTCCTATTGTCAGATTCATTGYTCTTCTGTAGTCTTGCTCTTAATCTCATATATCACTTTTTCTGAGGCTTTCGTGTCATCTGCTTTGATTACCACAGCCRTATCATAAGTGGTAAAGAAGACATGTCAAAAGATGCTTCAATGGAAAGATGTTTTGTAATATTCCAAATGGTAATTCCAGCTCAAATTGCATCAGTAAAAGGAGCTCTCATAGTACTGGTTATTGAGTCAAATTGACCTCTTGTAATGATTCTTTACACATTGACAATTAGTGCAGGAATAGGTGGACTGACAGGGATCACCTATTTGGTTCTGTGTAGTGAGCAGATGATAGGATAGGATGATTCCTGATAGGATTCCTGACAGTGATTACTGCTACTCAGTGTGTACTCTATGTACMTGCTTTGTTTAAAAGCAAGGAAATACATTTTTCCTTTTCTACCTGTTCCTGAGCTCACCCTCCTGCACAGACTGAGCAAATAASCCACAGCCCTGAAGTGGACTCTGGACTCAGAGGGTTCAAGTGATCTGAACTCCTGTAAAGATCTCCAGCTTGCCACTCTCTCAGTGTTCATAGCAAAAGCCTCACAGACAGCACAGGATAGCTGCACACTCCTCTTTTGGTCTTCA